ACAGTCGATTTTTCTATCTCCTGCAAGAAACTTATATTTATTTCAATGCTGATAATAATTAGTCTGACGATAATCAGGCTTGTTAATGCCTCTCGCGCGATTCACCTTTTACACTCCCCAGTCTCAATTAAAATTTGATAAAGTTGATCTCTTAATCAATGAAAGATTCGCCTCTTTCAATACTTTTCCTACTTAAGTTTTTCAGTTTATTATATTTCTAATTGTTTTTTTTTCGATAGTCTATGCACGCGATACCTGTTTCTCTTTTTTTTTATCGCTAATTACGATATACAAAAAACGTAATTATATGAATCTACACACACGCTTACACACTTTTTTTATGCACCATCGGCAATGTTGAACACGTTTTACATACTTTTTCTTATTTTCATCCCAGTTTTCTATTTTGCGTGTAACAGAAAGAAATTTTTACCTCAAAATTTTTACACATTTAGCACACGTCTGCATAAGCCACTTCGACGTTTCGAAAATGCGAAGGAATAAGAAGAGAGAAAAGGTCTTATAGCGAATTGGACACACTAGTATGCACTGATGCATATTAAAGCTGTTGTACACTGATTTAACCTGACAAAGAGTAGGCAAGAACTTGAAAATCAGTTTTTAATTAACAAAAATTCTGTGAACTCCTTAAAAGATATTAATGAGGCAAAGCATTACGAGTGCATGGCCCCTTGTTTTCTAATAAAAATTTTATTTATTTATTCGAAATCAATTACTAACTCGCGTCACTCATTTACAACAAGGGAAGTTGTTTTCATAAAACAGCTGAAAAATTTTTATGAGTAAATGGTATATCAAGTAATATTTTCAATTTTCGATACCGCACGGGAATGGAAATTCAGAACAGAAGTCGATTTTTTTATGGAACATGATACTTTGTATTTGCAAATTCGATTTTTACGCGAGAACATAAAACTTTTATACTAAAAGAAGTCAGCAAAAACTGGAAAAACAGCTTCCATTAATTTAATTCGATTAAATTAAAAAAAAGATTAACGCGTTTGATTGACAGTTACACGACGTGGATGTTCTACTTACTTCACTAGCACACCCACGATGGCTAATTTACAACAGTAATAAAATATCTCTTTATATAGTATGTAACCTGATTTTGAACAACTTTTTATTAATCTTTTATTAAAAAACAAGGAGCCATACATTCACAATTTGCCTAATTAGAAAACATCCTTCAAGCTGTTCACAATTTTTCTAATTGAAAGCTGTTTCTCTAATTTTTGCCTACTGCTTTTAGTAAAGAGCTTCATGCTTTCTTTGCGTAGAAACCCAAACTAAAAAGTATTATGTTCGATAAATATAACGATGAAGGAAACTCGCCCCGATGACCTTGACTTTGACATATGTTGTCAAATTCATGACCCTGAGTGATCTCAAACAGATTTTAGCAATCGCTCGTTATTCATTAATACTGTCATTATTCGTTAATACTGTAACATTTTTTTGGATTATATTTCTTTAACAAAAACAAAAAATAAAACTTTGAACACATAAATACAAACTAGAAAATATCTTCTATAGATAAATATATAGTTAGTTTTTATAATGTACTGTTTTTATAATACTGTTACGAATTTTGCAATAATTAACTTATTTGTAAGATAACAAAAATAACGAAATAAACCTCAAACTTGACATAGTAAGTAGTAATGCCACATATTCCCAGATGACAAAATATTTTTAACACGACGCCAGCATAATACATGCACATGTGCAGTAAATCTTGTCACTACGATGTTTAGCTAACTCCGTATCTGACAAATATACTGATAGCACATCGTGATTTGCGCGCTGTGCGAACATTGTACTTGTAAAATGCCAGTAATCAAACCTAAAATTTTGACTGTGTCGTGACTAGTGACAGTATCATGCAAACATCATCTGCTTTATTAGCAGAAAATAGCACAGTAACAGAATAGTGCTTGTATGGTATGCTGAGCATAGCATAATACGTGCTGACACGTTTAGTTATCGGGGTTCTTACTCTTTTTTTATATAAGCGTTATCTATACGAAATACCTAAAAGTTAATGTATATGAGCATTTCTAAAATCTTTTCACTTCAGTGTAAAACATTTTTTGTTTTAATGCTTTTTTTGTTGATTTATACTATGGATGTGCCGAATATTCAGCAACTATCCGGTTATTTTTTATAATACGTGCGATTCAAACCATCTAGTCTATCCAGCTATCCAATCAGATTGTAAAAATGTCATTTTTCACAATCCGGATAGTTACATTAAAATTAACAAAAAAAATTAGCAATAAAACTTATACTGCATAAAGTATAACGATAAAAATATATAATTTAAATTATTAAGATACATTAAAAAAAAAAAAAAATAGTAATCATTTTCAGAAAGTTGAGAGCGTACCATTTGATGATGATGTCATTCAGTGAACATATCTCAGTATTTCAACTTTACATCTATTCAAATAATTATACTTTTTAAAACCAAACATATTTTTCTTCTTAAAAATTCATGATTTCCTCTTTCTAAAACGATACTTAGTTTTGTTTTTCAGCTTTTTGTGCAAAAATACGATTTTTTAGAACAAAATATTCTTTTTCACACTTTTTTACAAAATTCTTTTTTACGTTTTTTGGATAAACTTTGTTATCAAAATCTTTTTCCACTTACAGATTTGGATTCTATACAGTTTGACCTTTTTTGTTAAAAAAAAAAAAAATTAATTTTTTAATTTTTTTAACTGGAAATGGAATAGTTAATATTCTGTTACTTTTTCGTTACTTTTTATAACAATTTGATAATGACATTGCGACTTTTTATGAGGTAAATATTTACAATAGGGAACTCAGTTTCGATAACCTTGACCTTGGCATATATTGTCAAGATCATGACTCTGAGTGACCTCCAACAGATTTTAGTTGGTGCTCGTTACTTGTTAATAAGTCATTAATAAAAAAAATTCATTGGTTTACGAGGCGAAACGAGGTCTATAATTGTACTGTTCCACATGAGTTTTCGACTTCCACGCGAAGCGAAGTCCACAGTTTATATACATATTCGTACCTACATATATATCACTAAACTTTAACTTTTTACGAGATCATAGAAGTCTCACTATCATCTACTGTACATGCGTAGTGTAGCTTAGAAAAAGATTAAGATATCACTTGAAACGCTGTCTCTTGGATCACTCTTAATAAAGATGGCATAGAGCCGCACTCATTTCAGTATTATTATATTTCAGTGGCTCAAACACATATCCAAAAATTATTTTATATAGCTCAAAATATAAAGAAAATAAACTAGTACTTTTAAATAAAGAAACTTAATATTTTGATCTGTAACTGATATTTTGAACGTGTAATTTTTCTGGATAGAGAAACAAGAGAGTATATAAAAATTAGAAAAACAGAAAAATTAAAAGAGAAAGGCAAAAAGAGTGAGAGAGAAAGAGAGAGGAAGAATAAAATTTAGTTAGATTAACGATAGGTTTTGAAATGGTCGAAGTGTCCGGAATTATATGCATTTAGATTATTTATAAAAAAAATATTGACTCTTTATCCTTCACATCGTCAATGTCGCTGTTCCTGTGATGCTCGCACTGCGTTGCCTAAATTTCTTAATTCTGAGCACAGTTTATACTCAAACAAAGTACCTTTTTCAATATCCGGCTGTGTCTAAACGTGGGTAAAGCAATACTTTCATAAACGTTTGAATAGACGTGGTTTGTGTAAAGATGAACGCGTTCGAGGATGTAGAACACATCGTCTTAAAGAATTACAGCGAAAAGGGATCTCTTACCGTTTTCTCTTTTCTGTTCTATCACTACTATTGTTATTGTTATTATATCAATAATTTATCAGAAAATACTGAACTACGTATAAATGATCAATGATATACAGTCCTCTTTTAAAATGTCCTCGAAAACAAATAAGCGTTACAAAAATGCACGAAGGCAATATGTACAGCTAAAACAATTAAAATACTTATAATAGTTTCTGATTATAGTCATTCCAAACTGTATGTTTTGTGTGTACAGAGTATCATGATTAAAAATCTTTTCAGCTTGATAATATAATTCCCCTGTGTATACTACCATCGCTCGACGAGAAACGTAATCCGTAGGCAGTAAACGAAAGCTGGATGAATTTAAAAACGATGTTTGTACTCGAAAACGAAGAAATATGGCCTATTATATACCGGATGATCATCGTCGTTTGAGAATAGGGCTAGTTAGAAGATCAATCCCGTAAATGAACACCTAATGGCCAAAAACGCTCATCACGCGTCGTTATAATTGCACTAAACAATTATGTTACCGATAATGGGCAAACATAGATACAGGCAATTTGTTTGCACCACGTACAATCCAAGCTCCATCACCGCTTTACGATCTAAGGCAGTCGAATTGAAATTGCTACATGGTTGTATCTCAAATGGCGAAACGCGATCCTGTTCTGGGAGTTCTTTCGTTAGTTCTATTACGCCCCAATTAGAATTAGCGTCAGAGCGTCTAATAATGTCCTAATATCGGCTAGAACACAACCTTGCCCGCTATATCGCCCGAACACAATATCCGTTCGCGCATATACTTTTGATATCAATGACTAATTGATAAGACGAAACGAGAATAGGGCCACACGAAACGCGATTTTGAAATATATTCACATATATATGGCGCGACACGCTTTCGATTTCACTTACAAGTCTTCCGTTGGATCGTTGCAATAGTCTCAAACATTAATTTTCGTGTCAGGAACGAATTCTTGGAAATCGATAGCGTATTACACGGAGTAAAGATGAACTTTATCAGCATTATAACGAGATATATGCCGTTCGGCGCTACCCGATGCGAAATAGCTCTTCAAGGTTGCGCACGGAACGCTCGGACTTCGATGTGATCTTATTCCGTTATGTATGAACGCTAATCTACTCCTGTCACTTGCATTAGGAGTATGTAAAGAGCAAGGCTGGCCCTAGGCACGTCCATGCAGCAATCCTCTACTCATCTGCGTTTTTTCCTCTTAGATCTGTTGCTCGCCTTTTTGGCGGCAGTCGAGTGCTCGCCAGGTGTCTCGCGATCCGCTTCATTCCGCTTTTCGGCGTACCCATGATCGGATTCCAGGGACATCTTCGAGAAAGCCGTATCGTACCGTTCGGACGTCCCAGTAGTGCTGCCATTGTCACCGATCCCTACCTGCTGCCGCTGCATCGGTTGAAGCTGCAAAGAAGATTCTCTTTGCGATTCTCTCCTTTCGGTTGCCACGTTACCTCGACGTGTCTCGTTGACGACGGATCGTACTTCCGAAGCGAAAAGAGGACTGCCTTCCGTCGCCTTGTTATCCCCCTTGTCCACGCGACAGATCTTGCCTCGCGTTATGCGCGCGATATCCTTGTCCACGCGAGATTCTTCGTCTATCGGTGTGTGAAAGTCTACGAGGATACTCTCCTTGACCGTTATCGTCGCCATCAGATCGATGTCATCCTGATCGAAAAGAAACTCCTTCTCCTCCTCTTCTTCCTCTTTAGTTTTGTATGCTCGTTGTCGCGTACTCTGATGTTCACACATCACGCGTTCCATAGGTTCGAGGAACGTAGGACTGTCTCTGCCACAAAATTCCGCTTCTTCCAGCTTCCTCGCGTGTTCGTCGGCCTCTAGTTTCTCCTCCACCTCTATCAACGGCTCGAGATCCGTTTCTTTGCGGGTTTCCTGCGAATCCGAGGAAGGAGAGATGCTTTTCTTCACGATAGAGCTCCAGGATATCTCTGCCAAAGGTAGAGCTTTTGAGTCCTGATCCTTAGAGCAGAGCTCTACAAACGGCTCCTCCCGTACGGCTTCCTGCACGGCCTCCTGCAGTTCCGCCATTTTCACATTAGAGGAACAGAATGAGGGCAAAAGGACAGAGATAGAAAGCTCCGTCGAGCTGTTCTCTTGTGACTGACCGTCTGACTGCGACCTCTTGTTCTTGCGAGATTTCCGAGTGCGCGCTCCGGCAATGACAGGCAGAATTTTGCACTCCGGCGTCGTATCGGAAACTTTTTGCATAGCGTCGATGTCGATAATCTCAACGATGTCGCTGTCGGTGATCTGAGAAGCGCGCTTGGCAGGTAGCAGCGAGGATGAGAAATTCGTCATCTTTGAGCCACGATTTTTGGGCCTTCTCGTGGGGCTTGGGTACGGACCTTCCGGCTTATCTTTAAAATAATCAATGGAACTGCGTTTATCGCTCTCCTCCGACCTTGACCAGACCTCCTCCAGTGGATTGTATATTACAGTGACTTCTGGGGCTTCTGCCTTGTTCTTCTCAATCACCATGATATCCTTTCGTTTCTTGCCAGACTTAGATTTCGTTCCTTGCTGCTCCACTGATGTTATTTCCTGGGTCGCCTGCAGAGATTCTCTCTGCGACAATCTCGCCACCGCGTCAAGTTCCAACTCATGGACTTCCGAAAGTTGAACGTGCTCCAGATCATCATCAGAGGACAACGTGTGCCTGCTATGCCTTCTACGCGAATTGTTATTGCTCGCCTTCGTCAAGGACGTTGTCGTACCGGCATCGCCTGAATTCGTGGATTCAAAACCGAGATCGACGTTGTGTATGTACTCCAGATCATCATCCGAAATCGTGCTCTTGCTGCTTTTCCGTCGCACCACAGGAGAAGAAAATTGCGCGACCGTGTTGACAGTCACACCTGCGTCTTTGCACCTGCCGTTGTCCGCGTCAGCCTTCATCCGCATCTGCATCACCTCAGATTCGTGGATGTGCTCGATGTCATCGTCGGATTGAGTGGACGTCAAAGCAGCGTCTTTGGCAAGATTGCATGGATCTACCATGTGATACTCAATAGAACTGAAATCATCCAGCGGCGGTGGATCCAACGATGGCAACTCATTATCGTTATGATACTCATTGTCATGATCAGATAGCAATCCCACATTTTCCACATCCAACACGGGTTTTACAGGATTTTCTCTCTTCACAATTACGTCACCAATCGATTCCATTGGCTCGGACAAGTCAATAGAAGATAGCTCTCTCGTGCGTTTAATTTCTCTACTTTTGAGCACAACTCGATCCTTATCGGTGAATTCCTGTAGAGAACCTTGACTCTTCCATTCGTCATTCCTGCGTATCATCTCATATTTGTTTCTCGCTACCTTAATATCTCTTGCGCTCTCCACTTTCTTCTTATCAGCGTCATTTTCCTCTTTCCTCACACCAACACTCATTGTCGAATCCATACGACGCGCGTCTTTGATAATGACACTATCATCGTCCTCTTTAACAACGTATTTTTCCACACGCGTCATCCGCTGTTCAATTGGACGTTTCTGTGTGGTACCGGAACTTGAGATTCTTTCGGAATCAACGATGGCTCTTCTCGCGATAGGTCTCTTGACTTTCTCATCTAAGTTCGACTGCCATATCTCGATATTCCTATCGCTTCGCATCGTTTTGTTCTCCATCAACGTAACGCTGTCATCGTCGTAGCTGACGACGTACTTGGCCTTGGCAAAATGCCTCTCGTGAGCCTCGCTGCGATAGTCCTCAGTACGGCTGTCGGTAGATCTTCCCTTGCTGCACCATAACGCGGTCTCTTTCGCCTGTGTCATAGGGCTGCTCGGAATCTCACCTGGTTGGGCACACAGGCTGAGACTCGTCGGCACCTCGCAGAACGCCTCCTCCTTTTCGTAGTCGATTGACGTCGTTGTTGTCGTAGCCGCCATCTCCGCGCATAGAGCACGACGATCCTGCAGCTCGCATATGTTCTCATCAGGCACGCTGTTGATCGCCGGCTCGCTTGCCGAGCGCATCTCCGCGCAGATCTCTGTGAGCTTGCGATTCAGCGCCCGGCTGTCCGACTCATCTGGGAGATCGACCGCACCGAGCGAGGCCGGACCCTCCTCGGCGCACACGCTTCTAGGTGCGTGCATCTCCTCCGCGGCGGAGTCGTACTCCTGTATGGAGCTAATAGCGTCCCCATCCTCGTCGGCCGACACGGTAATCACGGTGCCGGTGTGAGGGTTGACGACTTTAGTTACCGGCTGACCCACCCTCTCAAATACCGTACGTCTCCCTAGTAACAGAAAAGCCGTAGGCAGGTATCAATATTACGAGTCGCTGCTCACGCGTGTCTTTCATTCTCATTCTCATTCTCATTCTCATTCTCTCTCTCTCTCTCTCTCTCTCTCTCTCTCTCTCTCTTTCTCTTAAGTTTCTCTCTTTCTTCTTTCCTTATTTTGCAGTGATAATTATAGCCCGCGCGCATATTTGCTTGAGATTATATCATATATGATTGCAATTTCGCTTTGTTAACGAATAAACAAAAAATCACAGCAAAATTTATCAAAATTTAAAGAAAGTGTATATATAACGCTAGTGAGTTTTACACTAAAAGAAAAGATTGGCTAAATATGACATAGCATTTTTAATTGATTGCAGCAGTCAATCTTTGATTGCGTTAGTATATGGAAATCCTATACTAATATTGCGGATAGGCTAACGCAATCAAAAATTGGCTGCTGCAACCAAAAATTAGCTGTTGCAGCCAATTAAAAATGCTACGCAATATCTTACCATCTAATTTGTTGCAGTAGCCAATTTTTTTTTTCAATGTGGTATAATTATATAGGAATTGGTGCTTGATAAATAAAATCTCGAGTGTCTCACGAAAAGGATGGTCTAATTTTTTCGTTTTTTTTTATTACATTCCGCATTTGCATACTCCACACGCGTGTCAATTATGCGTGGGTCAAGTCAAGACAAACTTAAGAGAAACACATGTGTTTGTAAAAAAAGTCTCATTCTAAGCTATACATAAAGCTAGAAGCTCGAGCAAAATGTGATGGATTTATATGGTTAGTACAAGAACGGTACATAATACCGCTTGTTGGATATTTTCTTTTCTCCAAAGATACAAAGAGCAGACGTAAACAAAATATCTTACTGTTAGTGCTCGAACATATAATACAGTTACGAGAACAAAATGGAGATACCTGCCTTTGGCCAGTTCTGTGTCACGCAAACTTATAATACTAATGATATCTCATCGTTAAACATATCACAGAGATAGGAAATATCTGCTTACGAATATCATTTTTTTCTATTTGGAATACACTTTCAGGTTCGGTATTAATATAGCATGATAACGTCGTCATGAAACGCTATCAAGCATAATTATTTTTCTTTCTTTCTTTTTTCGAAAATTTTGTTTATTTTTTCTCAATATTGTTAATAAAAACGGTAAATCGAAATATGCGCACGTCAAATTCGCGCGAATTATACATCTTGCAAACTTCGCAAGTTTAAATCTGTATATTTAGGAAATATCAAATATGTTTAGCAATATGCAACGCTTGGTGTGGAGGAAACGGTACCGAGACAAATGTTATTAATGAAAAATATTATTTAATTAACGTTTTGTGGTGCAATATTATTCGCATTTGATCAAATTTGGAATTAATTTCATAAATAAATTATTGAAGCATAACTGACAATGATTTTATAACGATACAAATAAGGATTTTATCTATTTTATTTCAATGTACCCCAATTTTTCCTTAAATTTGGCGTGATTATTTTTGGTTTCTACAAAAAAAAAAGCACTATACAAGTATAAAATGTTATTAGGCATCAAGATCCAGCCAAAACCGTCTCTACTTATTCATTTGTATATTATAGAATTATATTTAATATAAAACGCGGAATTTCACCATACAAATAGAAAACATACGGTCCGGGTACCTGAGTACCCGGGTATTACTCGCGTGTCTCGGGGAGTGATATCCGGGTACCATAGTACCTACTTACTAATCGTCTTTATAATTCCCTTAATGCTGATTCTACAGAGTCGGTAGTCCTAAGTCTTATCAGTGAATTGGTGAAATTAGCCAACAGCCAACTTGTACGATTAAGACTACCGATTTTCTTAAGACTGGCCAAATTTGACTTTATTTCTTCCCATTAGTTGAGCTAAACGACTCGCTGTACAACTAACAAGTTGTTAGTACAAAAAATCATAGTCACCTATTTAGGTTAAAACTGACCGGGGTTCTACAATGAATCGGCAACTTCTTCTTCTTTTGTTTTTTGGCTCCTGCCTCCGGATAATAAAAGGAGGTAAATCATATGTGTATAAGCAGCATTTAATCAGCAAAACAGTAATTCCGTCGGAGTTTGCCCCCCCCCCCCGTCACACCAACACCCCTTAAATTATTGTGAAAATGACAAAATGATACAGGATTTTTCGACTCGGTTTAGTTTCGCTCTGCCTATCCAGCGTTGTGTCAATAATTATCAGACATTCTGTATTTCCCAGATTTATATATGTACATCGTATAAATGTTTGCGTATATAATATGCATGATTCGGGAAATCGTATATGTATACTCACAATGTAAAAACTTGTATTTGTTTGATGAAAATATTTTACAATCGTCAAAAGAACGAATACAATGATTATACAGTATGGGACGTTTTCCAGCAAAGAAATATTATAAGGTTAATTACATTTTTTATACGACAGGCTTTTCAAGCCTATTAATTGCTGCAGGACAAAGAGGTTCTCGGATTTCTCTGTCCCGCAGCCAATTAACACGCTTAACAAAATTTATCATACGACAAATGTAATATCAGCCTAACACGGTGAATCATTACATCCTTGTTGTTTGCTAAAAACAAGGATGAAATAATTCATTGTGTTACATTGTGTTCTTGTTAGAAAACGCCCGTGGTAACGTAGAATGCAGGCAAAGTAGATAACAATGAAAATAAAAACATAAAATACGGTTATCTATCTAATATCTTTTCCACATTATTCCTCTATAGTGACAAAAAATAACATAAAAGATAATTCTTTACTCTTTATTAAAGAGATAAAAATTGTACAAAAGTTATAGTATTGTACAAAATCATTGGGCAAATATATGAAATATATCAAATAAACATATAAATAATTTGCACAAATTACACAGAACATATCGATTTAGTCGCTTTGATGATATTGCGACTAAGTGGACCTGCATTCATAGATGCTTTGAACTAAAATATAAAACTTGTTGCATAATTGCGTACTTACCTGGAGCACGATGCGACGCAATTGATATTTCGAGCATAGCTTCCGCGAGATCCTCTCTCAGTTGACTCTCGCAGCTACCAACAGCTACGTTCTCGCTGTCTAGAGGATCACCATAAGCCTCCATAAATCTTGGCGATTGCTCATAACTGCCTGAAAGTATAATAAATCTTACTTTCTTATAAATATAATCAATTTAATAAAACTATTTACATATTATTATACTATAACATGTTATTTAACATCAGTAAAATCTTTGATGCTTATAAGCATCAAATTATTAAATTATTAATCAATTTAATTTGTGATATTATTACTACAGTTTAATCAAGTTTGTTTCAAGACCGAAAAATCAATTCGGCGCGTAATTTAAATGACTACATATGTAATATATAAAATCACATTGAATTATTTAAGATCCAGCTTGACCATTAAAAGCGTTTATTTCTTATGTATAATTCGCACATGTATAGTTCTAAGATATTCCTTGTTTAATATAATCAATTTATTTTATTCTTACAACAGACTTCACACTTTTTTCTTAAGAAGTAATGCAACGAGCGAGAGCAGCCTATAGATAACACTAGTTTATAGTAAAAAAATTACATCGAATTAGACTAGGTGTTAACTCATTTTACAAAAAAAAAAATAAACGCAAAAAAACTATTTTTGCATATTAAACTTCAATTATTTCAGAAACCTAACGTGCTAGTAAAATTTAACTTGCAGCATCGTTTTCAACATCCAAAAATCTATAAGAAACACCTTGTCTAATTTAAAGTAATAAAAAAAAAACATTTTTTTAAATTAGTATAATTATTGCACACACTCACTTCCTGATCCATCGATGACAACTGGCATCAATGGCCTAGACGCCGCATGAGGCATATTAACAGGCTTCGATCTCGCTGGACGCGACCCAGTAATTCCAATCTCGACTGCCTCCGCTTCAACCAGATTGACAGCAACACTAGAAATGATTAATTTTCGTTTTTAATCAGTAAGATCACGATTATAATTGACAAAAATTGAAAAACCAACCCGCTAGGCGCATTGTAAGTTTTAAAAACGAATTGTGGTCCCATCCACAATCGTCTGTGTGGTCCAGCATGGGTTACGATTTCCACTTGACTCAACCAACGATCCTCGATTGTATCAAATTCCTGATTGTTCTTTGGTGTGAACGAAATGCTAAGTAATGGATTCGACAGAGATAACGGTTGGACAAGATCTGATGAATTAGGGGACCTACAAAGTGGCCACTGGCCCTTTGCTTCTACTTCCAATTCAATCGTGGTGTCGTCGCAAACTTTTTCCTTTGGCACACCTAAAATAAATAAAAGCAAACGTTAGATGACACGCAAGAAAAAAATTTTGGATAATATAAATCGTCTGATTTCTCTTTTATAAAATATATATATATATATAAAGTGTATTATTTCTTTGTGTAATATACCAGCAGCTGGTTTAGGATCCAAGTCGTATTGTATCATATTTCCATGACATGCCATGATGAAAAGAGAATCGACTGCTCTTTTGACAACTTTGCTACTGGATTCCCTTTGCGCGTACATCCAAGCTCTTGGCGGAGCAAAACACGCGCAAATCTTCAACGGTAAAGTCCCATTATCGTCAGAATGTAATCGTTGTCTCTGTTGTGGTCTGTAATAAAATTTACGGTATCTTTTAATTAAATTTTGTTGTTACTGTAGAACTCTAGTTTTCTACAAAACGCAGTAGCTACCTCGGCTGTGTGGAGCTGTTGATTTGATTCAGAGAAGATGGTTGTCGAATTTGTGATAAAGGATGCAGAATCGTTGGATGAGGATATGGAGGAAGTCGAGGATTGGAGTACGGATATACGGACAAAGGTAGTTCGGTATGAGACACAGGAGAGTGGGATCGGGTACCATCGTCCGTCAAGCCTGCACTTTTGTGGAATCTTGATAGTCTATTGACGACATTGGGTGTGGAATGTGTCCTGACGCCAACAGGACCTCCGTAAGGTGCGACAGGAAAAACATGCGTTGTACCTCTCACGGTTGAAATAGCGGCCCAGCGTGTATCGCTCGAAAATACCATGTCCTAATATAATAAATATATTGTAAATATTAAGAAATAGAAATAACTTCTTATTTGTAACGCCGTTACCATTACAATTCTCTTTGGTAAAGGACCGGTAACAGTATTACTTTTTTCTTTTGATAACTGTAACGTAGTTACACTTTTTTTGGCAATGGTAATGAATTTTGTAGTTATTTTTATCGTTACTTTTCATATTTTGAAAATGTGAGTAAATTCTAAATGGTACTTTATTCTAATCCAAACGTTCCGACTCCTCTTCGGGCCAGTGAATATTTTACGAGTTACTTTTGAGAATCAGCAACTAATAACGGTAATTACAGTTATTTTTCACTCGGTAACAAGTAATAGTAACTATTTTTGAAAAATGACTTTCCATTCCCTAGTAAATACTTTTATATAAGCTCAAAGAATTTTTTCTGTATATATATATATATATGTATATCTTAAATCTTGATAGATATATTAATATAATTTCAATTAGTTCATTATTTTTTACTTTTTACAAATTGTATGAAATGTCTTGTAGCTATATCATGTCAATAATAATATACTTTAACTAAAGTATATATGTAATTAAAATGTAAGCACACAGTAAAAATGTTAGGAATGCACCTGTACTTTAGCGGTAGTATCGCCACGATGTAAAATATACAAATGATGCACCGCCGCTAGTGTTGATCCACCGGGATGCGGCTGGATTCTGAATATGTGGAAATCGTGTCCTCTCTTATCCGCTGTCATCAATAACGCGCCGGTTAAGTCAAAAGTCATGGCAACGATTGCATCGCTGTGAGCAGTAAAATGAGCAATTACAGCATCCGCATTAGTGTCATCTAACTCTTTCTCGTCTTTCGCGATCTGAAGATCCAATATCGTAACGACGCCTGGTTGCGTTATGTCATTGCCCGCATTATTGATAGCTATCGGTGATACTGAATTCCCAGTGAGACTCGACGCTACGGTTTCCCCTAGTCCGCGAAGACCTTTCCCTAGCGACTTCGCCGCATATAAAACCGTCGCTGTGTAACTCTGAACGCCTTCCCCTTCGCAACCACCGCTGCTTCTTCTTGCGGGTATTAATTTTTTCTCGCTGCAAATAAAGAGTGATTTTAGCCCACATCTAATAAAACTGTGTTACCTACGTAAAGTATTAAAATCGTTAGAAAACGCAAGATATAAAATGTGTGTCAAATTCTATACCTATAAGCGAGCCATCGCGTTCCTAAAGCGATGGGATTTGGATTTGGGCCAGGACTGGCATAGCAAGTCGTGATTGTTATATTATTTTGCAATGTTCTAGCATCAAAGATCGCAATTTTTTCTAATAACGTTATAACCACGGATCGCCTGTTCGCCAACACGTCGCAGACAGAATGCTTGAATCCTACACTGTGTATTGACTCGCCGGTTTTCAAGGAGATGAAATTAACGTCGCAAAAGGTTTTTGGTCCCGGAAGAGTTGAATCCGGCTCAGAGCAGACCGCTACCATCGGCCGTTTCGCTTCAAATTCATCGACATGTTCGTCGTCAGTCTTTGGATTTGGTAGAATTCGAAGAATACGAACCACGCCTTGTCGCCATGATAGGATCTCCGTTGCCTCTCCTGTTGCTGCTATCAGCCATACCTGCGTTTACAAAAATCGGTAACTGTTACAATTGAATAAGAAAAATTTAAATTCGATGAAAGAAGTGAATATGCTAAATATCGATAACTAAAAAAAAAATGTATTTCGTTCTAACATAACATTTACCTGAACGCCAACCGCGTATCCTAATACCAATAGCAACGGTGGTGTACTAGAACCTTCATTATAATCAGGATATAAAGCAGGGTCATTTATGTCTGCGTATTCAAATCGCGCCCATGATATGGTTTCCTTATTATCAGAATTGGATACTCCGGCATATCCCTGAGTAATTGCAAACATAGTACACTTGGAGATATTTGAATTATAATATTGAGATCATTTTAATTAACTTATATATACCTGTGGTACTATATCATTTATGATCCCAGCAACACTATCAATGATTGATCGATCTACTATGGGCTGAGGTGAAACGATTTGAGCTCCTTTATGCACACCGCGCCTTGGTGATTCCGCAGACATTTTTTATTGCCAAATTAAAGTTTTATTTATCTATAAAGATGGTAAAATCTTGAGTAGAAGATCTATCTTTTCAATTTATGTATTAAAAGCTTGTATATTTTACCATATAAAATATACAAGTTGTTAATACATACAAAAAGATAGTAAAAGATAGTATTTATATGTAAATTGAATATTTATTTTTATTTTCGATTGTAGCTGGTTTGCACCAACCTGGATTGGAGTAATGCTCCACTATTGGATGACATTACATGCTCTATCAATAGCAAAGCATACAATATCCAATTCAGGTTGATGCAAACCCACTACAGTCAACAACGCTATTAGAGATTATAAACTTAAACATTTAAATATCACACGACAGTCAAAATCTCCGCAGTAAACTTATATCTCGTTGATGATTCCACTTTTAAAAAATCAGAAACTTGCGTTTGAAAGATAATTATATAGAGATATATAAAACTTGCAATTAACAATCTTATCTCAATATTCTTATCGACAACTTGAAAATACAAATAACTGATCCTACAGAAACTACAAAAAGCTATATTATATAGAAAGAAAAGGTTTGATATCGCGCGACGTTCGCAACATCGATAAGCAAGGACAAAGGGAACAAAGGACTCCTGCCAAATACGCGTCTCTATCGCAAACGGACAGAGGACAGAGCAATCCCGAGGACGGTCAGAGAATGCTCTGAATGACATGGAACATAAAACCTGGCCTTCCCGTCCTGACGCACTCACCAGTCACCAGTAGGAGAGAGCGAGGAGAGAAATTATTCGCGTGACGAGACGACGGCGGGCGTGAAGCGCGCCGTTCGCATAATCGTTGCGCGGAGGACAAAGAACCCAAAGTGCACCCGTTCGTAGCCACTCGACAATTTCGCGGACATTACTTGATTACTGTACATCGCGACGCCGCCGTCGCGCGATCGTCGTCGTTAAAATTCGGAACGTTCGACGAAACGCCGTCATCGTCGACGTCGTCGTCGTCACGCGATACATTATTCAACACGTTCAACACGCACGAAAAGTAGGAAAGCGTATCGGGCTGTCCGTATAATAGTGGTGGTATACCGACGTGTTGACGACGGCTGACGGAACGGAACGGGATGGAGCGGGAAGGGAAGGGGGAGTCTATTTTGTCAGCCGTGTAGAGTGAAAAGGGGGGAGAGGGAAACGTTGCGTTGCACAACGCAGCGCGCACAGCTGTTGGCTGTGCGCGAATCGCACGTTCAGGGACAATCAACGGGGAAGGTAGGGCGATCGCGACCGAACGTTCGTTGCGCGTTCGTTGTCGGTTGTGTCGCCTCTGTAAACAAGACCGCGCACGTCTCTTTATTTAAAATCCCCAAATACGTTTATCGCTTAAAGTACGATAAATATATATTCGGGCATTTGAAAAGAGAGAGAAACCGAGGATGCCGAGTGCAAAAAGTGCAGGCGAACGGAACCTCGGTGAACCACCGCGAAACATAGAGAAACCAAATTGGAAAACAAACACGAACGGACTGACGATTCAGACGCGCGAATATGACGTACTCCGAGCGGTTTACGCAATCACGTTAAAAAAGCGACGTCCTCGGATCGCGCGGAGATACGGAAGGGACGGGGGATGGAAAGGCGATCGTCGGAGGAACAAAGGGAAGGCCTCGCTTATCGCGCCCGTGTCTTTTATATCGTCTATTGACTATTCTATCGTCGCATTCGTATTCGTGCGGAGCAGATCACTATCGAACGACGGGAACACGAAATATATCGGTGATCGATAGCGGGATAGATTCCATCGTATATAGCACTTACTTCACAAAACTTGATCGTATTTTCCCATTGTTGAAGGAAGAGAAAAAAAGAGAGAGAGAGAGAGAGAGACAGCCCACTATTGCACTCCGCGCGCGCGTCACCGCCGCCGTTGTCCTCTCCTGTCTACTGCGTCATTCTGCTTCTCGCGAACAACTGACAGTCAGCGAACGATAGTAATAATAATTGACAATGACTACGATTGTCACGTAATCGCGCACACGGAACGGGTGCTCTCCTCGTAACGTCGGATATAAATTTTCCTCT